AATTTTTTTTCGCGGCTTATAGGAATCAATTTTTGTGTTTTTCTGCTCGGAATTGTTTTCATGCGCTCTAACTGGACAAAAAAATTGCAGAAGAGTGGTTTCTTTTTCCTCTGTGCATAATTCGTTGGAACTTAGGAAACAACAAACAAAACAAAACTTCAAATGATTGTTGATTCTCTTTTCAATGAGGCTGAAGCGCGATTTTCCGCCTTGCCAAAATCTTAGCTGTTCAAATTTCACGAATAACTAACAGGAAAAGCTGACTTCTTTTTTGTTTTGATAGTTTTGTCTATCAAGATTAACACTAGATTAACACTGGTTCTAATTTTACTAAGTCGATTTGTCAAACTTTCACTTTTTTTATTTGTTGTCTTTTCATAGGTTTAATAAGTTTCGGCCTTATTTATATCGACCTAGTGGCCTCTGATTGCGTCGTTCGGGCATCGAAAAAAGTTTGCGTGCGTGCGTTCGCTTTGAGGGGAAATGGAAACAAATTTGTTTTATTTAGCTTAGAATTTTTTTTGAGTTTTTTTGTTATGAAAGCTTTAATTTACAATTTTTTCGGTTTTCGATTGGAAAATCAATGCATCACATAAAAAATTGAAAGCGTATCATATTAAGTTTTTTTTTTCTGAAAGTATACACACACACTTCAAAACGATGCATTCTCGAATAACTGTTAATTGCAATAGAGATGATAGGTATCCAATCTTAGTGCCAGTAAAGAATATGGAACATGCAAAAAAAAAGTGAAAAAAAAGTTGACTATAGAACAAGTGAAAAGCGAAATCTTAAGTACGTGACCAGTTTTCTGCGGCTTTAAAATCGAACACCATATCAAACGTTTCTACTCTGTCCTATACAATCAAATTAATGTTTCGGAACTCTTTCCTTCTTGCTTTTTTGTTTAACTTGATCTGACTGGAATAATTTTTAAGGTATATTTCCAAAAGTTAAAAATACAGGAGAAAAAATATATTTTTTTGTAATAGTATTTGTATTTGCTATACGGCAAACAAATGTACTGATTATCTAAATTTGTTAGATTGTTTTGACGGCGTTTCAAACATAACTCTGTTTTTTATTTTTGAGGCTACAAAAACTAACAAAAAGTAACAATTCTAAACTTTTTACGCAAATCACTACAACAAATGGGGTTACACAACTGCGCAAGAGAAAACAATTGCAAACATCCCCTGACTCTTCAAAGGTTTTAAAACTTGCAATTAATCTCCTTCAGGTATGTTTTTTATTGGTGATTTAAATTTTTTAGCTAGACATTTGTAAGAAAAAAATCACATATCTCATTTTTGTTGCACAATCGCTAGATTCAAATTGAGCCAACAAAAATTGTATCTACAGGGATACAAGGATTCCCAAAAGCGTGTTTTTTTTCTTTTTTTTCGTGGCTTCTAGGAATCAACTTTTGTGTTTTTCTGCTCGGAATTGTTTCCATGTGCTCTAACTGGACAAAAAAATTGCAGAAGAGTGGTTTTCTTTTTCCTCTGTGCATAATGTTTTTGAACTTAGGAAACAATAAACAAAACAAAACTTCAAATTAATATTGATTCTCTTTTCAATGAGGCTGAAGCGCAATTTTCCGCCTTGCCGTAATCTTCGCTGTTCAATTTTTACGACTAACTAACAGGAAAAGCAGACTTCTTCTTTGTTTTGATAGTTTTGTCATCACTCAATCCAAACTATTGTTCCTAATATTCATCGATTTCAATACTTCACAACTGTTTTATCTAAAAAATTAGTAAGTTTAAATTTCAAAAATGGCCAGCTGAAATCATGAAGGAACATCAATCAAAATTACTGCCGTTTAGAAAAGATATCTAAAAATTTTTTTGCGGAACATAGCAGCAATGTATCACAAATTTGATAACCATTATTAATTGCTTGTACGGAGATATGGCGAAAAGACAAGGACATAACAGGTCTGCTTTTGATATAAAATCATCACCCTCTTATGATGACTAATAAAGCCCGGAAAGAAGGTTAAGCGGTCATTTTCGTTGCTGGAAAACAAATGCTGGAAAACAAGTGACAAAAAAAGCAAAAGTTGTCTGCAAGCTATAAAAGACAATCGATCACCTGAACATTTTTCTCTGTTTGCATCAATATGAGAAAAGTTATCCAAATAGCACAAACTGTCCTGCAAAGTTAGCTCACAACAAGAAAATGAATACAAAACTATTTGAAAGAAACAAATGGGATTGAATTTTGATAACTTGATTGAGGGACATAAAAGAATAAGATATCGAACACATTACAAACAAATCAATTTTTTCAGGAAAAATTGAACCCCTTAATTTGTAAATGGATACCTTTCATTATAATAAATCAAAATCTGAAGGCATTTTTCTGACTGCTTAATTCTGGTGAAGATAATCCACTCAAAAGTTGTACCACAGACAGCGAAACAACTTCAGACCAATAACTTCAAATCCATCTCTTGCAAAAAATTTTGAGAAAAGACCATAACCTTAACTTTTTCAAACCAATTTTCTTAGTTTTTACACAAATCTTGGTCTTTGAAAGTTTTTTGACACCGTTGACATTGGAGTTCGGATAAAAAAATGACAAGCTTATGGCTGGAAAGAAACAAGAAAAAAACTGACAAAAAAATTAAAAAACTTTGAATTTTGATTGATTGAGAGCAAAATTTTTTATAACTATGATAAAGCCAATCTATAATTAAAACCCAGTCAAACGAATATTCTATACAATTGTAGAAATAAAATCAAAATATCTTGGCGCAAAACTTGATAAAAATTAAAGCTGCAAACTCCAAATTTGAAAATTGAAGGAATAAAAAATCGGAATGTATCCATTATACACCGTTTTGCGTAGGATAATTACTGAAAGAAGTTCTAAACAGCCAATAAATTTAAATTCAATCATTTTTTTTCCAAACTAACTTGAATATTTGGAACTGCTAGTGAACCAAACTCGTGAATCAAATGAAAAGAAAAACACACAACAGAAATTATGTTGGAGAGAGGGAAAGAGAAACAGAGAGAGAGAGAGAGAGAGAGAGAGAGAGAGAGAGATAGGAGAGAGATAGAAGAGAAAGAAGAGAGAGCGAGAGAGAGAGAGAGAGAGAGAAGAGAGAGAAAGAGAGAGAGAGAGAGAGAGAGAGAGAGAGAGAAAGAGAGAGAGAGAGAGAGAGAGAGAGAGAGAAAAGAGAGAGAGAGAGAGAGAGAGAGAGAGAGAGAGAGAGATAGAGATAGAGAGAGAGAGAGAGAGAGAGAGAAAGAAGAGAGAGAAAGAAGAGGAGAGAGAGAGAGAGAGAGAGAGAAAAGAGAAAGAGAAAATAGTTTTTTTTTCTTAAATTAAACTCAAGAAAAGTTTTGAATTATTTTCTGACTTATAATTCAGCTCGCTACGCAAGTAGCAAAAAAAAAAAGTTTGTATAATTAAATTTTCCGGGGCTTTTTTTTTGGTTATACCTCCCCCCCCACCCCCCCCTAACTAGTTGAAATTGAAAGCGCAAAAGCGAGTGAAACAATCAATTAAAAATCACTCGCATGCAATTTAGCAGCTGCTCGATTGGGAAGCCTAGTGATAAATTTGCCATATAATTTCGTTTCCTAATCGAGCAGCTGCTAATTGCACGCGAGTGGTATTCAATTGTTTGTTTCACTCGCTTTCGCGCATTCAATTTCAACTCGAAATTTGAATTGCCAAATATATCAATTTAGGGGGCGTATAACCGAAAAGACCCCTTCCCGGGTTTTTAAGAGTGATAATATCAAACTGCAATGAAAAAAATTGTCAAAGTTTTGCTGGCAAAAACCCGAGCGCTTACTGTAAATCCAGCAAACTAAGCTTTGATGCAGTTAAAACTAATCAATTCTGATGTGGCAGATTTCCGTGTCGATATACAAAGTTTATCAAGAACCATATTTTCTTAGCACGAGTTGGTTCAATTGACTGGAAAATTCACCCACGAGCGATTATGAAGTAGTTAGGATCCGATTTGATACTTTAATCAAAGAAAGCGTTTTCTATTCGCCTTGCTCTGCTTGGCCGATACTTGAACGAAATATAATCTTTGCTTAACCGTTTTTTAAAAAATATTGCACACTTAATTGAATTCGTTCCTAAAATTTTGATGAAACTAGATGCTTTCAAACTTTAAATTAGATTAGACGTTGAGTTAAGCTGCTGATTTAGAACGCTTGAGGATTATAACCTCTTCGTTTCTGCATGACTACATTTTTGCCAAAAATAACTGCACCATAAGGACCCTTTTGGTCACGTTTTAAGGGGCAAAGGATGAACAAAAGATTATAATGATACTAGAATCGTAGAAGCCAATTGATTTTCCTCATCTTTTCCCTTGCCACACGGAGACCTCTTTCATCTCAATTTGACTTTCGGCAAAATTTAATTCTCTCCCTGGCACTATTTTTTCCAGTTCTGCCTTTGTGTTTATAATTCTTCACAATTCATCTTTTTCGGGTCACTCCAGGTAAATTAGAGCGCATTTTGCGAAACAAAAAGCCAATGCCACAGCAATTAGGGATAAATTTTAGCCCAAATTTTTAGTCTACTTTTCTGCCTTCGGGGAATTTGTGCAATTTCTACGTTGATTCTTAGTAATTTCTCTGGCAGACTTTTGCAATTTAACTTGAGAAATGTTAATTGAAACACTTTTTCGGCCCATTGTGTTTGCTGTTCAGAAATAAACTGGACCGGGTTCTATTCTGTTTTCACCCTTAGTTGATTTCTTTTTTTTTCTTTCGTTTTTCAAACTCATCTGGATAGCAGAAAAAAATGATCGCGTGATTAATTTTCGCGGTAATACCTTTAACTTGAATGGCTTAAATTTGAATAGAATTTAATTTAGTGCCGTTTTCATCTCTTTTTTTCTCGCCAGGTTCTTAATCCAATATTTGGTTTTCAGCTTTTCGATCAATCTCAGCAGTAGAGAGAACCCAAAAAGTCTTCGAGCTCAATTTGGTGAGTATTGGAAAGAGCACTTAATGCCATTTCACTTCCCTAAAGATCCGTTTTTTCCATCATTTCTGACAAAAGGCCAAAGACAATTATTTGCCAGCAGCAAACAGTTCATTTTATTCAGTCACTTTTTCCCTAAATTGCATTTGAATCTGCTCTAAAAAAAAAACGAAAAAAAACAGGTAGGCTGTTACTGTAATTACTATTTTGTCAGATATCTGAACTTCTAAAACTCTCTTACTCTTAAAAAGGTTCACAGATGTTTTTTTTCGTTTTTAGAAAATTGGGGTCTCTCATTGATAAAATAAATAAAATCCAATATCAGACTTCTAAATCAGTTTTTATATTTTTATTAGGTTTTCACGACAATCGGTTAACTTGTGATAATTGATCTTTTCTTGAGCAAAAATAAAGAAAAATACCTGTTGAAATATCAGTACTTATTTTAATTGGTTTTCAAAGAGAATTATCTCTCAAATTAATTAGGATCTCAAAACAATGGTTTTTCGTGGCTGTTTTTAGAAAAAATTTTATGCAAAATTTTTTGTAATTTTTATTATGATTTATAATATAATTTATTTTTATTACACTTGTAGTTTATTAATTTGAGCTCTACTTTTTTACTGTTGCAGCTTAATAATGTCAGCCTCCATGAGCTCATCTAAAATGGGACTCCTGTTCTCTCAAGTGCTTTTTATGGCTGTCGCCTTCCTCGTCTTGTCGGCTCAAATGACTTCGGCCGCCCGAATGAGACCCGAGAAGAGATACCTAATGAACTTTAGAGCACCCAACTTCGAAGACCAGCTCGCTGCTCTGTTCGAGGTACAAAACGTTTAAAAGTTACTTTTCATTTCTAACTTATGCTAAGGGGAGCGGCGGTGAAGTGAATGAGTTTCTTCGCACTATGTCACTCGGTGGGTGGGCTGTGCCGTAATTCCCATATCCCTGTGCTACGGTGCTTGAGGGCGGAGAAACATTTCCAGGGCAAAATATTTTCCAGGTCAAAGTATAATAGTTCTCCTGGATGCCGACAAAAATTACAGCCAAGCTTTTTATTTGAGATAACCCTGAAACTGTGGTAAAATTAGAACCCCTTATTAAAAAGCACAGAGGGAGAGGGGTTTGATCATTCGACCAATTTGCTTTTCCAGGTTAGAATGATCTATGGTCTAGAGTGGACTTTTACGAAAAATCAGTAATCTCTAAATTGATGAAAGTTGAGATTTGGCTTACAGCTTTCACTATTTTTTTTTTCGATTTTGTATAGATCATTAAATTATTTTAAATTGTCATTTAACAAAAACCTGAAAAACAAACACGCGAATGTTTTTTTTCTTGTTTTCTTTTTGATGTTTGAAATTGAATTCGAAGTATATAAAAAATACCTAGTCCTAGAGTCCCCCTGAACAAAAACACTCCAAAATCAATATCTTAGGCAATGAATTTAACAAATTAAACTATGTTTCTCTCAAATTCGTTTTTGATCTACGCTAACTTACTACCCGAACAGATATAAAAAGCCAACATAATCACAAAAAAGTTGGCTCAACGGTGGACCTGATTGATCTGCCAGTGATAGTCAGTACCGTTTCACAGTGATGCAACACTAAAATAACACTATTAAAAGCAAGTGCCATTTTTATCTTTTCTGAGTCACTTAAAAATTACTCCAAACGTATTTGTTCATTTACTGACAAAACTTTATCAATGCTAGCCACTTATGCATTCCAACAAACTTCTAACATCGGTAAGAGTTTATCAGCGTTGCATACACATATTTATTTTTCCGACTTTCAAAACGAAAGTAACGGAATATTTGTGCTCGGGGTGGGTTTTTTTCTTCAGAAAAATTTTGATTTTTCTAGAATATAAAAGTTTCGATGCGCGAATTATTGTTCCAACTTTTGTAACGAAAATAACGGAATATTTGTGCTCGTGCGTTTTTTTTTTCTTCAGACAAATTTCGACTTTTTAACTAGCAATTTTTCTCTTAAAAAGGTTTTTATATATCATTTAGATTTTTATATATCATTCAAATGGTATTGTTATCTTGAGCTAAAATTTGAAAAAATATTTCACATGTGATCACTTTTTGTAAAATTATGGGGTTTTAGATTGCAATTTCGGACAATTTGGGACAATTAACGCGCGATGTAATTCGCGCTATTAACGGGTAAGCGAAAATATAATCTGTCTTAGAAATCGTTCTAAATTGGTTCAAGGAAGCTTTTATGCCATAATTGATATGTTAATAGGAGCAGAATCTATCACTTGTACTTAATATGACGTTTGGAGGGATGTTCTTACAAAAATTCTTAAATTTTCTTTTTAAATTTCAATTTACGTAATTATTTTAAAATTTTTCATGTTATTACTGCTCCACAGGCCTTGAAAGGCAGTCCGAAAAATCCGGGCCTCGCCCTGATACGAGCAGTTTTCTTTTCATTAAATAGCCAAAAATTGTGATTTTTTTCATGAAACGCAAATTTAGACAAGACTGCTCGTATCAGGGCGAAGCTATGGAGCAGTAATATGGAGCAATAATATGGAGCAGTAATATGGAGCACTAATATGGAGTCTATGAAGCAGTAATAACATATAAAGATTCAATTTATAAAATAAAAGATTTTTTTCCCTGAAATTTGAGATTTTTTGTGAAAATCATCCTCCACACGCCATATAAAGTACAAAAGGATAGATTTCGCCCCTTGTAACAAATCAATTATGGCAAATAAGCTTCTTTCAATTAATTTAGAACGATTTCTAACATGGATTAAATCACCGCGTACGCGTTAATAGCGCAAAATAGATCACGCGTTAATTGTCCCAAATTGGCCAAACTGGCAATCTTCAAACCCCTATAATTTTACAAAAATGATCACAGGTAATATATCTTTTTAAATTTAAGCTCAAGACGACAATACCTTTTGAATGATTCAAAAAGGTTCAGTCAAAAATGGCTAGTTAAAAAGTCGAAGTTTGTCTGAAGATAGAAAATCCCACCCCGAGCACAAATATTCCGTTGCTTTCGTTACAAAAGTCGGAACAAAAAATCAATTAAAAAATCTTTTTTGCGCTCATTTTTGGAGATTACATCCTTCGTAATTTTTATTGGCTTCATTAGAGGCTTGCAATAAATGCACAAACAGGTTTGACTAAAATCAGCCAAAAGGATCGTTTTTGGGTAAATTTGTTGACTCAAATTATGCAAAACAATTTGCACCATATTAATTTGCAATTGTCAAAATTTAAAAAAAGATTATTCTTTATCATTTTTCGCCTAAAATCAATTCAATTGAAGAAAATTGCGTTTAAACTTCAAGTTTTATCAATTTTGTCCGGATAATTTAAATCAGCACTGTATAAAATCAGACAATTAAATTGCGGTTCTGATCCAAATATGATTCAGTGCTGTCCCAGTGGTGCTTTCTGACTTGGCTAGTTTTGATCATTGAGAATTTGTCAAAAATAAAAAAATAATCTTCGCCCAAAAACGGTTGTTTACCAGATTCAAAACCTCTAGTTGACGATACCTTCCTTCCTTTCTTTACCTTACCTCTGCACCATATCCGCTTAGAATCAAATTTTTTTTATTGTTTATATCTCGAATATCAGAGAAGCGCTCATTTTATCAATGAGGCAAAACTTATAATGAGCTTTTCTGATTTTAAGCTGAATCATTGTTGATAAAACTGTTACTCAACCATTGGTCCACATATGCAAAAAAAAATTTTATCTCTGGATGTTTGAGCATATATGGCTCAGAGTTGTCTTTGTCTGATCTATCTTACTGTTCTGCTTTTCAAAAAATAGTTGTAATTTGCGAAAGCTGTACTTAATGACTCTGCCAAAGCAAACTGTGGGATATATATTTGAATTCCTCAAAATAATTTTTTGCTCTCAAAAATAATAATAAATCTTCGGTCCAACATTTTTATTTTGTGATATTTGCAATACTTTTTTGTCGAGTACCTTTTTAATTGCAGAGTTAGTGCCTCTTTTAAACGCTAAAAACGCATTCAAAAATTTATGGCCTCAAGTCAACATTTCCAAAAAATAATTGTTTCATCTGGTAAGAAAGGCAAAATAGTGAAAATCAAGCATTCCAATCATGTAGTCAGACATCACTGAATTAAAAAAAAACGGTTTTCATTTTTGCACAGAAGAGTTTATAAATGAATATTTTTTGCAGGTTGGAATTTGCCTATAACTTTAGCCACTTCAAACCAATTCAATTACAAATTAATTACGGCCAAGATTGCTATTAAGCTGATTGGAAAAATGAAGCAAGGTGAGCTCTGATTTTTTTTTTCATTTCAATGGAGTTTAAGACAATGAACAATTTTTTCCGTTTTTTCTTTTTTTTTTCAAATACTTTTTCTTGTGTTGATCAGTGTGATCGGAACATTCCTTGCTATTTGCAGAGCAGCTTACTACCTTTTTTTATTAGTAGACAACGAATGCCTTTTCCTAGTTTTCCACTTGGAAGATCTAGGAATGCTTTTTCTTATCACGTATGTAAATATCATTATGATACAATAATATTGCAAATCAAGCAAGTTGTTTAAACAACTTGAAGCTATTTTTTCCTACCAACTTAATGATCATTTTTGGCTTCGTCGGTTTGAAAACTGCTGATTGCCAATGTTTTCTTTATGTCAGCCGAATCCTGTTGTGAGATTGATTTATACATTTTAAAATGTCTTCAGGGTTGCTATGACGGGATATCAAATAATCTTTGGGAATTTCTAAGCCGTGATCGTATACGAAATAATGTTGTGATTTACAGATCCTAATTTGTTGAATTTCTAAGTTAAGTGGAATTTTTCAGAATCCAGTAGAGCCTGTCTTCAGCCAACCTCAGAGAGGTCCAGTAGTTTCCAACAGTCCATCTTCATCAGCCTCCAAACTGAGGGCCAACATGTGCATGAATTACATCACAGGAGACTTCTTTGACTGCTGACCAAAATGAACTCGTTGCTAAGTTCTAAATGAGCCACCAGTAACCTGAATCAAAAATCTAATGCTACAAACCAAATTTCTTTCATAGTGAAATGAAATTCGAGATGACTGATTATAATAATCGCACTAAATATTAATTGTAAATCCTTCTTCTATGGGCAAATGCAGAAAAAGCTTGAAAAGAGTCAAATTGTAATGTTGAATATTTATCTTTTTCATGTACGGAAAGACTCCAAAATGTTAGTGCAGCCAGTTATTCATTAAAAAGTGTTTAGGCACGATCAATTAACATCAAACAGTGTTTAATTTGATCGCACCTAACTATTGTCTACCGAGATTAATTTGATACCTATCCAATGATTAAAAGTTAAGAGCATTTTTTTCTGCCGAAAATTTGACACCTAATTTTGTTCCTCTTTATTATCATGTATCGTACCAGGAAAAACAAGTGAAACAAAAAAAACTAAATAATTTGATAACTGACGCTTTTTGAAGCACACGAGAAAAAACAATTTTAATTTGCGTAACAATAAAACAAAAATTTTCTTTGCGATAGTTTGATAATTCAGTTTTGGATGTCCAACTGCTTAAATAGTATTGCTGGGTAGTGCAGATGGCTTATGACTAGAGCGTTCAATAATGGTAATTGGTTTTTGATTGTCAGTAGTTTTTTTCTCGATTGTAATGTTTTGATCCAACAAGCCAAGTTTCTTAATATATAAATTTAACTTCTCCCTGAAAGGTTAGAAATTGATCTAGAGTTACCCCATAATATTTAATTTCTGGCTTTTCTTCTATTTTGTTATCATCTTATTTTTTACTGAGCTTTAAATTGTCGTTTCCGCCTTGATGTTTTTTGCTACATATTATCAACTCAGTTTTCTTTATGTTGAGTTTCAGAGAATGTTTTGTGAAGTACAGAGACAAAATCTGACAGGATTTTGCGGTAGCTGTAGAGCATTCTTGATCTCATTATCATCACAAAACAGTAATGTATCATCTGCATATTGAACCACTTTGCAAGATTCAGTTAAATTTTAGTTCAAGTCATTTATGTATAGTTTGGAAATTATGGGTCCCAAAATTGTACCTTGAGGTACGCCTTCTTGAAGTGAGATCCAATTGGATTCAGTATTACTTACTACAGTTTTCTGTTGTCTATTGTTTATAAAGCAATTAATCATTTAAATTGCTGATTCAGAGAATCTCGAACCATTCAATTTGTTCTTTTAATGTTCGAGGTTGATGGAATCGAAAGCTTTGGATAGATCTAATAAAGATACGGCAATGTATTCATTTATCCATTGTTTTGCGGAAGAATTCAATGCAATGAAGGATCGCGTCTATCGTTGAATATGAGGTTCTAAAACCAAATCAGGTGTTGCTGAGCACGTTATTAAATAAACGACACTCGTTGATTTGTTTGTATGGAAATTTCTCAAAAATTGTTCAAAATGGATCTGTTATGGAGATTGGTTTATAGTTCTCTGCTATTTATGGGTAATCTTTTTTTTGTATATTGGGTTAAAAATCGTTTTTTGAATCTGGTTGGAAGTAATTTGTACTTGATTAATTCATCTATAAAAAATGTGAGGTGTGGTCATAATCCATTGCATCTCTCAGAACCCAGGCTGGGAGATCAGAAGCTACGAATGGTTTAATTTTTAATTGAGGCAAGAATGCACGAGAGATGTCTATGCTTGTTATTTTTTAGTTGCCTATCAAATTTTTCATTTTCGAGTGACGAAAAATGAGCACTTTATTTGCAACATGATAATTAATCTGATTAAGCATGTGTAACTCGCACAATTTTTTCTGGTTATTTGTTTAATATATTAATGCTTAAGTTTTAAGATGACATAAACTCAAATCGTTTCCTTGTTGTTTTTCCATAGGTTGCCATAGAAGGACCTTCGCTAAAAAAAGATAGAAAAAATTACTTAAAATTAAATTTCATGGTCTTGTAAGTTAAGCTGCTGCTTATCATGTTCGAACATGCTTTTTGAATTTAATTCCAAAATTGAACTGATTTTCTGAAAAAAAAAACAATTTTTGATATAATGACTGCTGAATCTTGCATGAAAGTGAAATTTTTAAATTTTTTGGTTCTCATCAATTCTCGTACTTGAATTTTGTGTATGCCGGTAGTAGTTTATGTCTAATTTTCCATAGATAACAGATTATTTTCAAATCGAGAAACAAGGAAAACGGCCGAATCTTGTATTCCAGCTTAAGATCGGATGAAGAATAAAAAATTTTCTGTCACAGCTGGCCTTTATTGCTCAACTCAGTTGTTTTTTCAGCGATATTTTTATATTCGATGTTAAATTGCTTAATACTATTGCTGGGTACTGCAGATGGCTCACAACTAAAGCGTTCATTAAAAGTAATTGATTGTTGATTGTCACTAGTTGTTATATCGATTGTAATGTTTTGACCCCCAGGCCATTTTCATTTGAATATTTTTTCAACTTCTACCCGGACTGGAATTACCCTCAAATATTTAACTTGTGGCTGTACTTCTATTTGGTTATCATCGAACATTATACGGAAATTTGTTTTGTAGTTTCTGCCTTGATGTCTTTTGCTAAAAATCATCAACTCAGTTTTGTTTGTGTTGAGTTTTATTGAATATTTTAAGAAGTTTGAAGACAGTTTCTGACAGGATTTTTGCATGAGCTGTAGAAAGTTTTGGATGGCAATATCATCACAAAATAGTAGTGTATTCTCTGCATATTGAACCATTTTGCATTTTTTGGCTAAAGGTTTTTTCAAGTCATTCATGTGTAGGTTGAAAATTAGGGGTCCAAAAGTTGCACTTCGAAGTACCCCTTGATTGAGTGAAATTCAATTCGATTTAATTTTAATTGTTGTCTTTTGCTTATAAAGCTAGGAATCATTTCAATTGCTGACTCAGAGAATCACGAATCAGTCAATTTAGTTTTTATATGTTCGTGGTTGATGGAGCGGAAAGCTTTTGATAGATCTAATAATGATACGGCAATGTATTCACTTATCCATTGATTTGCGGAAGATCTCAGTGCAATAAAGGATGGCGTCCATCGTTGAATATAAAACCAAATTGGGTGTTGCTGAGCAGATTATTAGATAATAAGTGTTCATTGATTTGTTTGTATATTAGTTTCTCTAAAAATTTAGAGGGTGCACCTGTTATAGAGATTGGTCTATAATTCTCTGCTATTTCTGGGTCATTTGCTTTGTATATTGGGTAACATCGCTCTTTTGAATCTAGTTGGAAAAAAATTGTACTTAATAATTTTCATTGCACTCGTCTTTCAGAGCCCAAGCTGGAAGATCAGAAGGTACGGGTGGTTTATTTGCGTTTAAATTTGTTATTTTTTTCTTACATTCGATTTCACTTACAAACTGGAAACAAAATTTTTGATTGCGTTCCTTTTTGGTCCTTGTGTTTTTGATGGTTGATTCAATTACGTTTTTTTTGTCAGAAAACATCTGAGTCTAGAAAACTTATAGTTGAAAAAGTTTGCCATTTTGAATTTGTTTTGTTGTTGCTTCACCAAATGAAATTTTTAGTAGTGTGATTTTGTTTGCTGATTTTTTCGAGTTTCTTGTGTCATTTATTATATTCCATTTCTGTCGCTCATTTTTTTTAGGATTAAATAAGCTCGAATTTTTATTTATCTGTTTATATTTTTCTCTATCTATTCGATAAATATTTTTCGAAATGAGTTTTTCTAGTTTAAATTATGAGCTTTATCTTTGTTTAAGCTTGCATTAAATTCTGAGCTTTATCTTCGCTTAAGTTTGAAAAAAGGGAGCTAATTTGTATCCTGAAAAGAAATTGCGATTGATTGCTTTAGTTAACAGAAAATTCCAATTAGTAGTAATATTTGTCGAATATAAAAACTAGAATGCTAATTTTTGGTCTGTTTTTTTTTTTTCAAAAAATAAATTGGTTCAGGGAATCTGGCAGTAGAATGACCAGTTCTTACCAAAAAAATCTTTAGAGATGCATTTTTTATAGATTCATTTCGAGGTCACTGATATGTTAGTACCTGCCAAGTTTATGACCGAAGTCTAATGAACCTTAACATACGAGATGCATACGGCATACAGTTGATGCAACTTACTAAAAAAAGACAACGTTAGATCATTGGAACGCCTTTTTATGGCGCAGCCAAACAACGATTCGAACATCCGCTGTTTTGGACAACACTTAGAGCCACTGGAGGGATTTCATCTTGCGATTTTTTTCAACGAGAACTGCAAATTGATCATTGACAATTTAAAGTAGCCATTGGTTCCAAAAACTCCTTTTTATATTGTGAAACAGACGACCGGAGAGCAGAAGCTCGTAATAAAGAAACGGTTCTATGAAAAGAATTAGCCGAAGAAAAGACAACCGCAAAAAAGAACGAAACGTTTGGATCAGTAAATTTGATCACAGAAATTTGAGTAGCTTCTTCTCGAAAAATGAGTGCAATTTTTACACAGTGGGCGGTGAATCTACTGAGACTTTGAAATTTTTAACGGAATTTTACATGCAAATTGTGAAAACATGTTGAAACTAAGATCGTTTTCTGGCTCATTACGCAAAATCATTAAATTTCCACCGAACTTTACAAAATTTTGTTCTCCGTCGAGACAAATGTTTGAAAAGCAAAATCAAAATTTATCAAGATAACATTAGACAATCACTCTGACATTTTAAGAAAAACCAGAATAATGAGAGATGCCTCACATACAAGATTGGAAACCTTCTTGGAGAAATTCGATCGGTTGGAAAACAATTGTTTTTGCTTCCTGACTTTTGAGTACACAAAAAATTAACCACTCTATCATTGAGCTTAAAATATTAGGAGTAGTTAGAGCTTTATAATTGTTTAAAAATTACCTGTAAGCCACAGCATACAAAATAAAAACTGATCGCGAAGCAAACTTTAAGCATTAATTTCAAACCGAGGAAACACGACAGTGTTTTGTAGATAAATAAGCTGGAGATATACCCGGGTTGACCAAAATGTGCAACTATACGTCGTACCATGCATGGTTCCATGGAAGCCATGAAAAATTGCCGACGTATTTTTATGTTAAAATAACACCTTTTCCATGCATGACGCGACGTATGATTCCACATTTTTTAAAGTATGGGGGACTTCAAAATAGACAATATTGATACTTTTACTAGGGCTGTTGATAATTTATATGTCACCATGGAAGCTTGCAA